AACAATCATGATTTTCGTCTTCCGCCTCCGACGCAGGCTTTTCTGCGACAAAAGCTCCTTAAAGGGGCAGTCAAGTGGTTTTTGAGTTCGTGTTTTGATAATGACAGCTGAATTTAGACGCCTTAAGTGTCCCTAAAAACCAAAAAGTATAGTCATATGGTGATTATTTCTTTAATAAAAATGTAATTGAAAGCCGCCAAACCACGGATCCATCCGAAAACAAAACCACTCCCATTGGTCGTCGCACGCTTATCAAAAGAATCTCGGGCCAATGGCGTTGGACGACGTTCCATCGCGCAGTGATCCCGAGGTAGCCGCATCGGCCGAACCTCTTTGTCATTCGAGCTTCGATCATGACGGAGTTCTCTACGCTTGAGGACCTGACGCCGTTAGAGAAAGTTCTTCGGCGGACAGCCGACCTGGGGATGATTTTTTATGACGCCACTCCGACGTGCGATGTGGACGATAGCAGCGCTTCGGAGTCATGTTCGGGTTCCGAGGACGACGAAACGCAGACCTTTTCGGGCGTTCTTCGATTTGCGGTTGGGGCAAGTCGTAACCAAACCAACGTTTGACATCGCAGCGTTACCTCTGGTGCGTGATGTCAAACGATGTCGTCACGTTGACTTTCGCCTCGGGAGAACGGGGGGAAGGCTGGTTCAGACATGTGCAACGAGCGCGTACCTACGACTGCGTCCGTTGTAACCGGAGCGACCGGAACGACCGCACTGCGCCGCGCGTACCCACACCTGTAACCACTACAACAAGCGCAGCGGGTCGTCAGCACGGCGACCGCTTCTGTACGCCGCCGTCAGCTGTGTCAGCGGCCCCTCTAAAAAAGGGGACGCACTGCTACTCAATGCCGTAACAGAATATAGACAGACAGTTTTCTAGTCTAAAGCTTTATTATTTTTTCTTGATAGGCTTGCAGGGTACAGCGAATGAAAAAAATAAAATAAAAAGATGCAGCGCCGTCTTGGACGATCACGACTCTAATACACGACATTGCAATAGTACAAATATCGCCACACGCATTTTCTACGATTATAAAAGACAATGTAATCTTAGCAGGGATATAGCAACGTAGAAATATGATTTCGTGATCAGATAGACGTTGCGAGCGTTCAGGATTGCTAACCCTAATCACTTTTCTCCGGTGATGAAAACGCGTGAAAATTCGCATCCTTTAACGGTACGCGCCAGTAATACCTTGAACTTGAGCACACGCATGAAATGCGCCAAATCAGAAATCCGGGCGATGTTCGAGGACACAAATGCTTAGAAAGCACCACTGTAGTCGAAGTAAACAAACACGACGGCACGGGCGTTTCTGCTATCTTGAGAGTGCCGCCACGACATCGCCGCACGAGTAGGTGGATGTTCCCTTCTAGTACGTGCTGGGTTATCATAGCGAAACACGACGAAAATTCACAGTCAAGGATAGCGCTTTTACGCGGAACGATGAGCTTTCACCAGGCCGTCCATTCCGACGATCACCACCGACGCCACTTTTGTGGATAGAAGGAGCCGGTTGGCCCGCGACCGGCACGACCGGCCTGCAACGCGCGGAGATACGTGCGCGTCCGCGCATCCCTGGGGAACGGGAAATTCACCCCCCGCGGAGGAAGGCAAATAGAAAACGTAGTCCCTTGTTTGTGAAACGATAATTGCAGTATCGCGTATTCTAAACTAGAAATATTTTACGTCTTGTGAAATTATCATGCACAACATATTTAAATGAACTGAAAATTGTTTTTTTAGCGAAACCTTAAAAAGACTGCCAAAATTTTCAAACATACGATAATTTCATTGGTCCTCGCAAGTACAAAAAAGAGTCCGCACGTATTTTATTCCTGCGTGATTCATAGGCGTTTCTGCCTTCTTAAACTGAAGATACTCATTCACTGACACTTCCTTAACACCATCGCACCAAAAAGTAGCTTCTCCAAAAACCGCTTGAGTGTCCCTTTAAAGCTACTACTCTAAGATTACAGCGTGCTTGCGAGCGGGTGAAAAGTAATAGGTTCCACGTAAGATGCGTCTTCTCTCTACATTCATTTTAATACAGAAGCGCTAACCTTAAGATTCTAAGTCTTACGTTCGTACCGCGACCATGCTTTAACCGACTGCTTTGCTACACCAACGCTTAATCATTTCAAAGCACCGTAACGTCTATCACTGCGGTAAACCTTGTAGGTGTGGCCAAAACAGCCTTCGCACTTTAGTCAAGGTCCCGTAAAATATAAAGACCGTAGTCCGGTAGTCTAGCAATCTGTTCGAAACTGGTTGCTCTCATACGAAAACCAGGCACGTTTTAAATATTACTCTGAACTTCCGTGTTTTGTTATAGTGGACACACCAACAACAGCACCGGACGGGAAAGTGCAGACATTATTTGAGCGTGCGTAGTACCACAACCTGAAGCGTTCCTATGGACAATGTGCTCGTGTTCAAGCCTATTAACAAAGAAAACATGTATATAATAAAAATCACGAAGCACATGCGTGGGAGCTGGCGAACTTCGAACATCTTAAAAACCGACTTTTGTTTTTTTCGTTTTTTTGTTGTTGTTTAGTGTCGTGTCTTTAGCATGCTAGAACTGATATTTTTTTTTTATCGTATAATGAAACTTGGCTTGACTTGTAAACCGTGTTTAATTGTTTTCAAGAATTGGTTGAACTGTGCCTGCCAGTTTTTTTTAATAGTAAAAGAAGGCTCCGGCGCTGCAGAGAATAAGTAAATAAAAATAAAAGGAAGGCCGTCACACATATTAGAGAAAGTACGCCTTCCTTACACTGCATGCTAAGAGCCAAATAAAGCTGATAAAATAAATAAATATTCTGCGAATTAGGAAGCGTAGATGATGTAATTAAACTCAAAAGTGAGATAGGAACTTCTAAACACAGTAGACACCCGTGTCTGCACCGTCTGTTGCAAGGCTCGATACGTGCTTTGAAACGCGTGATAACAGGGAAGTGCTCACTTCTCGGTTGCGTGCAAGAAGGGCGCAAGAACGCAGGCAGAGCGACCAATTTTCTCGTAATGATGGGACAGCAAGGCCGAAGGCTGAGTTGTTTATTCTGGGAGTGCACATTCGTTGATCACGTACACTCATGTCCGATCCCACTTCATGTGCATCGCGTGAGATAACATGAGCTGCCCGGCCAATACCACCTAGATGCAAGGCCAGGCTTTTGACTTCATTGTTAATGGATCCCAAATAACCCCAGGTGGCAAACATACGCTGAAGGTCGACGAGAGTCACCGCAAGACGGCTCAGCCGGTGCAGAGCCGTGTATAGAAAATCTGATCAATGGGAGAAGACGGCGAAAGCCGGGTGGGAGCGGCGAAAGCGGCTGTGCCGTCTGCGTAGCATGTTCCCCTAGTGACGATCTTGCGAAGTAAGAATGAGCTGAGATGACCTTGAAGAATTCGCTTAATTCGTTGCAAGTATAATTTTTTTTTTTTTTTGATTCTGGATGAGGTTGAAAGTAGATGAATGTGTAGCTGTAATTGGTGGAAAAGGGGAGTTTAAGGTGTTGAGCGCGTTCACTGAGCCAGGAAAGGTGACAGTGACGAGAAAATTTTCGTTAAAGATAAGCGAAAATGTGAATGTTGGGTGCGCGTTCGGGGTTATTTTTTCGTAAAAACTACCATGGAACCGAATCTGCAGTTTTCACCGGGCAGCCGGAAATCAAGAGAAAGATTGACTACGTCCTGAACGTCGCCGTGACGATGACGTCACGAGGGTTGTCTTTTCAGTTACGAAGAGTCGCAAATTTGAAAACTTGCGGGATAAAATTAAATCCTTGAATGCATCCACTAAATGATAACATTTGGGGGGAGGAAGAAAGTCGCCAGCCTTGTCTTCTTGGGAAGATTGGTCAAGCCCGAAGGCATGGCTTTTGGGGCCTGACTGACCTCTGACGCTTTGCGATAGGCGTTGCTATGCGAACCCCAGTTTCTGCTATGCACGACTGGCAAAGATTATCGACGGGTGTGGCATGTAAAACCAAAATTCATACCGGAAGCGCTTAGCTTGAACGACGATGAAACCTTGCCAACAGCGGTTTTACTGTCTCGGGGAAGCTTATTTATGCATCTATAAAGCCTCCCCTGTTTCTCGAGTAGGCGATATACGGCTCTAGGGTTTAAGGAATTTAAAGTATACGTTCTCGCCTTCAAGATCGCTTCGGTGTGAAGCACGCCAGCAAAGTGTCTCGAATACCTTGTTTCTAGCTCCAAGTTCGTATGCCTCGAATTATACATTAAAGACTGAATACAAGTTCGCAATCCCGACTCTGCGCAAAGTATAGCCCCTTTGAATGCGATGGTTCGTCGATTCTCCAAAGGCGCTCTCACACTGCTGTAATGCATCGTACAAAAGACTTTCTGCAGGCACTAGGGAGTTTTAGTGAACAGTTTATGCACATTCAATACGGTACAATGGGCCATCCGGTTCAAAGTGCGCATGCGCTGCCACAGAAGACTCAGACATGCGCAGTTTGTACCGTATCAGGTGTGCAAAAACGGTTCCCTAAACTCCCTACTGTCTGAGACGTCTTTCCTTTCCGTTCGACGATCCTCCTCTCACAATTGGTCACGCAATAGAACAGTCTCGCAGACGGGTTCGAAAGCGTGCGTATGTTTGAGGCACGTCCGCGGATAATGATCTCATCATTTATGGAGCCAACAGCGCGTGTCTTTTGCGTGATGTTATGGGCAGTGAGTGCGACTGCGACTTCAAGGCCCCCGGTCTCAGAACAATTAAATTTCAGCCCGCAAAATAAATAATTAGAAGGCTCATCAGTCTGCCGGAAACCTAAATGGGGATAAAAAAAATTTCACGCCACTTAAAATATTGCTTAGCGATCGATTAAAGCTGTGAAAAAAGAAAAAGAAAACAACAAAAACTGGCTGTTTATCGAGTTGAGAGCCTCCAGGGAACGGAAGCGAACTCAAACTTTCCATATGGGTGAGAAAGCAGGGTGCATACGTACCCGGTCGAGGGCTGCCCGCTGGCTATCCGACAGGTCCTCCAGATAACCGCTCATCGTGCTCTGCAGCTGAGCGATATACACCGGCGCCCACACGTCACACACACGCTGGATAGGCGGGGAGATTTCACTCTCCTTTTCCACAGTGCTTTAGTCGACTGGCAGCCTGCGGGCCGGGCGTGCGAATGCCGTTTGCGGACTGCGTACTTGAGAGATATGCGCCTTCCGATTCAAAGGGGTGGAGGAGTGCGAGGGGCTAAAATCTCTGGCAGCGTCCTCGAACATTCATTCGTCCCTCGGCGCGCGCGGCGGAGAAATTATTCCCGAGCGTGAGGTGTGTACGCTAACATCGGCGACGGCTTGAAATTTGCGACTGAGTACACGGGTGCCCGAGGCAAAAATCATCCGTCATTATACCGCTGTGCACGCACTGTGGAGTCCGCGGGCGCCCCGGCGTTTCGCCGAGCGTTCGTACCGCTTCCACGGTGTTATGTTTACGCGATGATCGCTATATATCAGGTGTCCCGTGGACAAGGACGGAAAACGCGGCCCGCCGAGGCTCATTTATCTTGTCCGAGGCAAGCGCTTCTTCTTTCCGAGTGTTGCGTTGAGGTAGTAGAAATGCGACTTGCCAGATACGAGCTTAATCACCTTTTGCCTTCGCACAATTACCGGCTTAAATGTATTTCCCGAGTCTTACCCTCGCAAATATTTTCGTGGGACTGCTTCCTCGAGGAATGGGTACCGATTTTTATTATATTTAGCTTAATTTTTGTGTGAGCCTTCGCTAATTATTTTTATTATTACACTATTACAAAAAGACAAAGTTGCAGTGACATGGGAGGCTTTGAGGAGCATCGCAAGCCATTAGAATTCCTTTTTCGATTGACTAAAGTGTCAATATATTACCCTGCTTGAGATTTGGTGTAAGACTGTGTCCAACACCATTGAAAAATTGCAGAGAACAACGCAAGAGAGCCTCTCCGCTTTCTTAGGCTTGTTAAATTAACAGAGGAATTGAAAACAAAACAAATACATATCAGACTCGATACACTTCAAGTCAAATCATTTCCGCCGAACTCTACTGTGATGGCAAAAGCTGCCGCCTGAGGCCCCATTACTGATAGTGAGTGTTTTCTGGTTTGGCCTCTTCACTCCGAGTAGGCCAATTCAAATTCGCGGTGACAAGTAAATTTATACAAAAAAAAAAAATGCAGGCCGAAATTTTGTTACGTCTCTAACTGATCAGTCTAACCAAGCGCCAGTCATTTTGTACTGACCTCAAACAAAATAACCTTCGAATAAGTTTTTACAATTTGGTCTCCAACAAAGCAAGTGTTCCTCTAAAAAAAAAAAGAAAAGTGAGGTAATAGAGCGCATGGTTGGGCATTGTTTCTAGTAAATGCCATCACTCGCAGCGTTCAATATTGGGATGGGCGGATGGGGGGCGGTATGAAAAAGTAATTATTGAGATAAGGAAGGAGATGGAAACGCGATATTATTTTAGGGCATCGGCGCAAATAAGGAAAGTTGAGCCGCTGATTCCTTGTACAGAGCAAAAGACACTTGCATTACGGAGAAACACTTCCATCAAAATTACGCGTCACCGCGACCTGGGTAAGCGCTAATAGACACTTTCCAAGATTTTTAAATGATGCATAGATTAGATGCGGTCGCCATCAGTTCGGCATGCACCTTGCGCGGGCTTCTGACTCCGATTCCTTCAGACCCTGTTCCCGGATGAACAAGACGCAGCAATACTTCGCTTTCGGCAAAAGGGTTTATTCACTCACTTATTGCCTGGGGGTTTCGGGATCGGGGAACGGTCATCAGCGAGGCTGGGGAGAGTCCGCTGCCGCTGCAGCTGCTCCTAGTCCCAGCGGTGGTCGTTCAGATAGCGTCATGGGGATGTCGTCGTCCAGGGTCGCCGTCCGGTCCGTTTGTCGAGTCCGCCACTGGACTTCCCACCCGCACTTCCCGGGCCAGCGTTCGTGTCCCGTCGAATCCCGCGCCAGCGTCCTCGTCTGTCCCACTGCACCATTCCTCGTGTCCCGCCGTTAGAAAGAGCCGCCGTACCAGAGAGAGCCCCCTTTTTCCTGCTTCCGCTTTACAAAAGCATTGGGTCCCTTGTTCCGAAAAGTCAGTCGCGTGATGTCAGTTGGCTAGGGGAGTGGTGTACCCGGATCTTCTTGTCCGGGTACACCTTCGGGCCGGAAGGGTACCCTGGCCCGAAGGTGTACCAGAAGGGTACCCTGGCCCGAAGGTGTACCAGAAGGGTACCCTGGCCCAAATGGTCGGCGCGGGGGATCTCCCCAACTGTATAGCACGCATTGGACGCGAGCGCTTCATCAGCATTTGGAGTGTACTCGCATTACACACGAGTGTTGCGTCAGTGCTCGACGCGAACTCGGAACCAACCACGGGCTGCACGCCGGAAGCGATGTGACCAAATAATGGTGGCTGCGCATAACCTAGGCATCATTTCACAATTTCAGAAGTGGATCTAAAATTCCAATTACACCTTCTGGTTGCCAAACTACCAGCAATGGCTGCTACCGCAGCCAATCACGTTGCGGTATCGGCCGACAAGAACGCCAAAGGACGAATCCCGATCAGAGTAACAAGTATAATTATATTGACAAATACGTTTTGGTCGAGGTATAACGCTTGCGAAGCTTGCAGGTGTTCGCGAACATTAAAATTGTACAGATTGGATAATTTGTTAAAGTTGCTGTACGTACAATGTCTGGTGTTTTGGGGTTTGGTAAAAAAAGAACCTTCTTCTTCCTCAACGCAAGAAAAAACTACTTACCGTGGCGCGCTTGGTCTCTACCCAGACGTATCGCTGGCGGTTCGGAACGGATACCGGTTTTTCGAGAACTTACCCTTACCGGATATAAGAGTTGCGAGCGATTTCTGCAAATATTAAATGGGACCCGTTCCCAGTACCCGAAGCAATTTGTCTCAATGTATTCGTGGTTTTTGTTGGACTAGGTCGTCGTTGTTTTAAAGCGGTAGCTCTAAAGGGGCGATGCAACGATTTCTGTCCTTGCGCAAATATCGTTCAGAAGGAATCCCTGATGTTAATGACCTATGAAACTTGCGGTCGCTTTTCAATATAGGCAAAAAAACAAAAACAAAAAAAAAACGAACAGCGGTTATTCTTAAGTTGCAGCCACAACGAGCGGCCACATTACCTGGAGCCGATTAAATGCCGCCAATGTTAATCATAGCTACACGCTGGGGTTGGTAAAGCACAGGACACGTGCTGAGTTCCAGACATTGTCATGGGTCTAAATCGAGTGCTCACGCAATGCTCGGGTTCAATCTATGAGCCTATACGAAAGTCATCACTGGGGTATATTTCGATCCCCCAGCTACGTCATAAAGTTCTGCGAAGGAGAGATTAAAAAAAACGCTCGCTTTTATTCTTGATATTACAACGCAACAAAGGAGTTTCTTGGTCAGTGGCGTTGCGTGCGTGGGTACCTAGGTCCCACTAGTACCAGTAAACTCGTGTAAAGTGAAAAACATCCCAAGCGGATAAAGTTTCACGGCCCCTTTAAAGGCCCAACCACGCTCAAGGTCATGTCCTCAAGGTCAAGTACAGCCCCTGCGTGCAAGGTCGCGTCATGTGCCAGCCACGGACTGTGTCGCGTACAAGTTCACGTAATGCCCGTGACTGAAGTGCAATGTCGCGTAATCAGAGTCACCTAAGCGCTGGTTCCGTAAGCTCCATTCGCGTAGGGGCCGGTCGCGTAAGCTCTTAAAGCGCGAAACACATGTACGACGAAACCGTCCGATCCGACGTCCGACCACGCAATACGACGGTCGGAGGCGAGGATTTTCAACGCCCTCCGATGCGACGAAAACCCTCTCCCCCCAAGGTCATTCCGGCAGTCCGCACGTCGGATTGGAAGGTTTCGTCGTACATGTCTTTCGCGTTTAAGTGTCGGTAGCTGAAGCTGGTGTGACGGGACGTTCTTGTCATTATGATCGAGGTCGCCTTGGACCTCAAGGACGTCCAAGGCGTCATTGAGGTCGCCTTGGACGTCGTCCTTGACATCGTCCTTGATGTTGTCCTAAAGGTTGTCCTGGGGTTGTCCTAGAGGTCGTTCCTCAGGTCACCTTAGAGGTTGTCGTAGAGGTCGTCCTAGAGGTACTTCTTGACGTCGTCCTCTAGGACGTCATCCTCGACTTCGTCATAGACGGCGTCCTTGCGGTCATCTAGAGGTCGTCTTCTGTGTCGCCCGAGACGCTGTTTTCGACGTCGCTCTCGACATCGTCTTAGACGTCGTCCTTGACTTCGTCCACGACCTCGTCCTTGACGTCTTTTTCGATGGGTACACGGCATATTATAACCATTTTATCACGGTGTCATTTACTTTCCTATTGCTTGATTAAAGTGGCAATACTATAGATTTTAGATTGCGTCTTTTAGAGATAATAAAATTCTGCATCGAAAGAAGAGGCTTTAGGTGACATAGTCGTTTGCTGCGGAGCTACTGTATGTGGCAGCGCAGCTGCCAGGGTAGCGCCACGCTTTTCCGTGTGCCGCATCTCACCGCGATTGGGCACAAGCGGTACCATAGCAACCAGCCGAGCTGGCACCCTGACCAGAGCAACCGAGTGACTACTCGTCACGTGACCTCGCAAGAGCTGTGATGTCACCGGTAAGATGGCAGCGCCCGGAGCTGGTAGATACGAGTTTGCTCGGTGCGCGGTAGTCTTAATGTGCCGCTGCTTGCCGACGATTTCGGACTTCATTGTGCTCTCTAACGTAAGTATAACGTGAAGATCTGAAAGAATGAGACTTCATACCTTTTCTGTCCAAGATTGCTCTGGATATCATCACCTGTCCGACAGCATCAGTCATAGCGCCGTAGCGTTGCTTGAATTCCCGGATGTGTTCGAGGATCGATAAGACTTTTAGCATGCAATTTTCGCATACTCTTGGTTTTGTTTAAACGTTGGACTGTCTGAGAATCGATGCGAAATGTATGCGCCGCATGTTGGGCTTTGGGAAATTTGTCTCTCGTGCGAAACGGCGCCGTGTTGTTTGAAGACCGGTGGCGTCGCTGCGTTTCCATAGGAGCTAAGCCTTTTTCTTTCTTCACTTTTTCCTCAGGTAAGTTCGCTCTTTGCAAATTTCACAAAAAAAAATGCTCCATCTGTGGGCAACGCTGCACAGAGTTGTAGCGCGATAGGTTAAGAAACCGAATTTTCCGGTCGATATAAAAAGTCTGGCGTCTCCTTGTATCACCCGGTAGATAATTTTGCGTCGTGGTCGCTACTCGGGCAGCTACGCTGCCATATAAAGAGATGAAATCTGAAAGAAGTAGAAAAACCTGTCCTTAAAGGGAAGCTGAAACACCTTTTTTTCTTCTCAAAAAACAAAAACGAGTTAGATGTGAATTTTGACGTTTTTTTCGCCGTGAACCTTAGTATCACGTTCGTTTTCCCCGAAGATAAAACTATACGCAAGAG